GATGTTTCTTTGGGTGTATGAAAGTTGGTGGAAAAGTATGGTATATGGGAGGATGATCTAAAGAGATCCTTAGGGTGACCTTATATAGTGTAAAACAACTAAACCCTACTCTTTAAAGGTCTGGAAAAACTCTCCTAAAGCAAAACAAAATCCCAAACAATTAAGGAAACAAATTAGGAAAGAATCCTTCTTTGACTTGGAAACACGTCAGCCATCTTGCACGCACGTTTAGGGGTTGTTCCACTTCCTAGAAAATTCTGGAAAAATATGAGAAACGTAGCTTTATGTCTAAGCTTTCCAGAAATATATTACACGCCACTAGGAGAAATCGGAAAGGTCTTCAAATCTTCAATCTTCCACAGCAGTGCAGTTCTGACGGGATTTCAACTTAGGCTGTCTTGACTTGCAAGTCTGGAGCATTTGGCTTGGTAGAAAATTATGAAACTTTGATACAATGATCTTCAATGCCTTAGATTTCTTCTCCAATTGGCCTTGTGCTAAAATTCATTCGAAAAGTCGATTTTCAGTCAAAATCCTTCCAAGATCGCAAAATAACTGAAAATAAGGAAAGTAAGGTAATAATGCTATTTTAAATTAACTTTCCCTACAAAAACCAAATAAAAGAGATATAAAAATATAGTAAATAATGCACTTATCATATATGAACTTGTGAAGCTCTCGTCTATTCAGTTATCCTTGGGTGACTGTGCTGCCGTGGACAGCGTAAACCGACTGAAAGGTTTTGAATATTCTCAATGATTTTCATTGAACAATCGTGTGATAATTATATACAATGCTTTGCTTGGTGTCTACACAAAGGATTTCCTATTCTAGGCAAGAATTAAGTCCTTGAGAGACAAGGAATATATATAGCAAATCAATGAAATAAATACAAATAAAACAGGAAACTAAATCACGTCTCATTACCGACCTTGTGATATATTTTTGTGTTATTACGGATCATACATACAAGAATTTCCCATACTTTCAATTCCTTAAGAGGAGAGAGAAGCAGACCTCTTCTTTGAAGGACCAACAAAAATGATTCAGTCCGGCAAGTTTTTGGACTTCTTGCCCACCCAAATACTGTTGAGAATGTTAAAAATATAACCTGATCAGTTTGCGGGAGCATAATTACAATTTGAGTCTCCACATCTTTGAACATTGATGCATGAATTAGCATATTTGGGTTGGAATAAAGCGTGTGACATTGCTTGCAAAATCTTTTCGTTCACAATACACGCAGTAATTGCTGGAGGGTAAGAGAAAATCCCTGTTGATTTACTAGACAGTCTTCTCCAACGCCATTTAGAAATTCTAAAGACTATTTTTCGAGATGAGAAATATTTATTTTATTGTCATATATATTACAAATTAACATCAATTCGTGCACCAGTTCATCTTGACTCCTAGAGTTCTATTTCCATCAGATTGTTATGCTTTCCTTTATACTGAAGCAACCATATAAACTAATTATAATAGAATTATCTTTTCAATAACCGTTATTTTATGAGATTATTATTTTGTCACTCATATCATTGTGGTACGGTTTTTATTGCTCCAAATTATATGTGAAATAACATTTAAGTTTGTGGAAGAGTTGAAGAAGAGGATTGGTATAGATTACAATCGGCTATCTCGGATATCAATTATTGAGGAAAGTACCGTGAAGGTATATTTAAAACCAAACAAGTGAGAAACAATTTACAAAAAAACAAAAGCACGTAATCGCAACAATAGAACCAAATCTAAAATTAATAAAATTTCCATATCCGAGTCGGTACACACTAAATCTAATTAGTAAATAATTAGGGCAAACAAACAACCAACCAAGTTTAGGGTTTAGGGTGTAGGAAAGCATAATTTTGGAAAGAGAGTCATTAGTTATCATTTCTCCATTGGATTCTCCTTCTCCTTCTCCTGCTCATTCATCAGATCCTTTAGCCGCTTACGCACTCTATCCGTACGCTCCTCTAGCTGCTCATCCACTCTAACCAGTTTCTCCAGGGCCTTGAGAAAGAAGAACTCAGAGTCACCACAAATACAATAAAAAATTAACTAAAAAAAAGAATAATAAGGAAGCCATACCAATAGCATCGCTTTAAATTGTATATCTTTGGCAATGTGTTTCTCTCTCAACCGGTCTAAACGAACCTCCAACTCCATCAGGGATTGTAATTTACCATTCAGATTCCTCTCTTGATGAACCTTCTTCTCCCTCAGGGATTGTAATTCAACATAATACTCCTTGAACTTTCTTATCCAAGCACCAGCTGGAGCAACTGATCCCAACATTACACACGATGCACGAGTACACGGAGATATACAGTCAGTACACCTAAGCCTGTGATCACAATAGATTCCGAAAACTTTCAGAAATTTCTGAACTTTCCGATTACAAAATTTTGAACTCCTAAAAACTTATAAATTTTAAAGACCTTAACTGAAAAGTAAGATAGTTGGGTGAACATATTTATAAAAGAAAAAAAGAGGAAGTTTATGTTTGTTTTTCGATGTGGGACTCCAACTACCTAGTTCTTTGGCTTGAATATCAGCGTTCTTCTGGAGCAGGAAGTCCCCTGCGATCGCGTGGGCAAGATTTCTTCACACCATCTATGTTAGCTTTCCCTGAACTCTCAAGATTGACTCAACTTCAAGAAATCTCCCCGTCGTATTTAATCAGATGGTGAGGGACTTGGCGGACCCTGAAGTGGCTCTGTGTGGCAAGAACAAAGAAGCTGCTTTGAAGTCGAAGCAAAAGGGAAATAAATGCTTCTTGAGTGGTGATTATGCTAATGCTTTGGATTTCTATACTCAGGTACCTCCATCTTTCAAATTACTTCTCTATTTTGAAGCAATTGCTAGAGCTCATTACTCATTGGCTTAGATTGATAACACCTCTGCTCTGAAACCCCTTATTTGTTTACTTGTTTGTTTATTATCTATCATTGGCATGAGGCACAGGCATTGAGAGTTGCTCCTATGGATGCACATGAGGACAGAAATCTGGTTGCCACTTCGGATGTGAATCGGGCTTCTGTATTGCATGTAAGTCCCATCCTTGATTTATGTGTGTATGTACCAAACGTAACAAGTTCAGTTCTTTATCAACAGATTTCATTGCTAACTGTTAGCAGGCCAATCTTGATGTAAATTTGTAATATATGACAATAAAATAAATATAGCATCATGTCAAAAAATAGTCTTTGGAATCGCACCTGTAAATTGTGTGGGAGAAGACTGCCTAGTAAATGAACAGAGATTTTCTCTTACCCTTGTTGGAGAACAATCAGTATAATACCAAGTAACAGAATAATAAACAAAACGAAATATACTTTATATAAATATAATCAAATTAATACAACAGTAGAATAAATTACAGAATAGGAGTCTATCCATCAGGATTAAACTATCACAAATCAAAACCTAAGCACTGTGGCTTTGATTTCTAGCGAACAGTGATATGATTTCTCTCAGAAAGTGTTTATGTGTGAGAATGATAATGCTGTTCCAAAGTTATCTTTCTGGTTTGGACGAATTGTCAATATATAGAGGTCCGACACCTCTTCATCCAACAGTTATATTAACTGTTTAACAAATTCGAATTTCAGATTTTGATTTTATCTGAAAAATGAATTTATAATTAATAAAAATAAAATATTAATTAAATCAATAGAGCCCAAGGCCCATCTTTTGACAATTATATGTATATATATATCCCAAATCCTGTCAACTTGATTCAACTTTCAATTTTGTCGAAAAATTGAGAGAACCCTCTCCGTGGGCCAAAAAGATCCAATCGGGGCATTGGTGTCGGTCCAGCAATTTCTCCGCTCCCCTGTGCAAGCCGACCCCCGCGTCCGGGAAGAAGAGCATCTGACGGAAAAAAGGACCAACAGCTTCTCTCTCCTCTCAAGGAATTGAAAGCATGGGAAAATCTTGTATGTATGAGATCCGTAATAACACGAAAATATATCACAAAGTCAGTTTATGTTGTCCACGGCAGCATAGTCACCCAAGGATAGCTGAATAGACGAGAGTTTCACAAGTTCATATCCAATGACAATGTGATTAGGATTATAGAGCTTCTACAGGATCTGCCAATTGTCAATGTGAAACAACATTAAAACATCATTTGGAGTTATTTATATACTAAACAAGTACACCAAGTGACTAGTGAGGTATCCATGTCTCTTCTATGAATTTTATCCTCGCAGAAATCAGATAATTTCATACATCAGACATGAATTTTATCATCGCATAGATATTTAATTTTATTTATTTATTAAATAGTATAGCAGCGCATACTTTTTAAATACATTATATTTTAAAGGTATAGCTGAACGGCGATACTTTAATTTTTTTTATAAATAAGTATAGCCGCTTTGACACGTAGCCGCCTTATTGCTAGACGGGTCCTTTTTCGTTCTTTGGCTATACTTTAAAAAAATAGTATAGCTGCCCGGCTATACTCGGTTTTATTAATGTTTCTTAAAAAATTAAAAAAATCGAGGCATGGCTATACTCTTTATATATATACTGAGATACTTTTTTTCATTAATTTTTTTCCCCGATTTTTGTTTATCGATAAGAGTAGTTTAGAGCATTACCCATTACTTTTAGACCATTACTCGAGTCTCTATTGATTTACTGTGAAATTTCCATACCAAAAAAAAAAAGGAAAAAAGAAAAAATTGAACTCTCAGATTGATTTGTTGTGAAATTTCTCTCTTCAATATCTGCTTTGGATAAGCTGAAACTAGCAAATTAATATCTATAAAGTATGAACTAGCAAATTAATATCTATACCTTTTAAATATAACGCATTTAAATACTTTGGTTTTTTTTTATTTTTATGGATCGTATAGCCGAGCGGCTATACTTATTTTGGCATGTGAGCACAGGTTCACCTGGGGTCTTTTTTATAGACTTTACTAGCACACGACCAGCCAAAACTATATCTTTTTTTTTTTTTTTTTGGTCAACACCAGCCAAAACTATCTCAGAAGGCAATACTGCTGGCCAGTGTACACCTTTACATTCATGTTTATGTTCAGGAATGTGCTCAGTATCTGTTTCAGAAGCAACATTTAAAGTGGTCTCTGCAATGTACTTTTCAAGATCAGCTGATAAATTTTCATGAATCCTTTGATTGTTTGGGTAATCCCAGGACATTTTTCCTCCTGCTCGTAAACGGCATTTCTGGGAGCAATACAATGGTATTGAACATGAGGTACATGGGATTTTATTCGCTGGTAGCTCATTGAAGCAGTAGTGGCAATGAGTTTCCCGACAAGGCTTTAATATTATCTGCAAAGCACAGGGACACTTATTTTAGGATCCTCAGAAGAACTGCATATATTTGCAATGGCAAAAAGAGCCAACTCTGTTGGTAAAAAAAGGTGCACAAATGATACTTGAACACAACTTGAGCTTCGAAGATAATAAGTTTAAATAAATAATTTCTCTTCAGCAACTTGTGAAGTATTAATCAACAACACTCACTGAAAGACAAAATGAAGATGGTACACCAATCTGCTTCGTTTTTTTTCTTATGCCTTTTGATGAAGAGAATGTAATAAAGGAAATTAAACTGTAGGAAACATATCTACTTTTAGTCTCACAATAAATTTTCCGGGGGTACATGTTCCCTGAAAGACAAAATGAAGATGGTACACCATTCTGCTTCGATTTTTTCTTATGCCTTTTGATGACGAGAATGTAAGAAAGGAAATTAAACTGTAGGATACATATCTACTTTTAGTTTCACAATAAATTTTCCAGGGGTACATGTTCTGATTAGACTGTAAAAAGAACATCCCTTCAAAAGATCTCAACCATCTGTATTGCACAGATATGCTAATTGAAAGGAAAAAAAAGGAGACAAGGCAGTGGATCACACAACAATTTAGTTTCCCAAACCACGACTATAGAGTATCAGGAATGTCTGCATAGAAGGGGAACATCTCTCTATCCAATTCGGTAGCAAAGTAATGGCGACTAACAAACTGAAAAGAAGTACACGATAGCACATATAAAAGAAGTCTCTGTTCATACCATCAAAAAAGGGTCTTCGGTATGTACCAATGAAGCTTGAGGAAGGTCACCAGTTGAAGCCATACCCCTTCCTTTCTCTGGTGTGGCGACACATCGTAATCCCGTTGGGTGCGGTTCATCTGATGGATTACAAGGTACTTTAATTAGGTTGCTAATACTTAACTTCCCTAACATGACTAGCTTTATTTTGAAAGAAAATAGAGGCAGGAAGTTTAACCAGCAAAACAAGCTGTAAAGTCAGATATCTTAGCATAATTGAAAAAAAAAAGTAAAGATTGCATTAAAAGGCTCAACAACATAAGTACACTCAAAATGAGACCATCTGTCACTGCTACATCCTAAGGAAAGTATGAACATCAATCCATCAGCTTAACTCCATCTAACGTTAAAAAAACATAAATATGATGAAACCAACAGAATATTCTAAGTGAGAATACCATTTCAAGCTGTTACGTGTCAACATGCAGCCATTTTTGTAGCTTTTGCCCGTCTCCAAATTGCTATTTTTGTCATCTGTAGTTTTAATCACAGGTTATAAAAACTTAGGGGGCCCAACGTCTACAATATCTTAAGAAACAATAAGGTGATTACTCATCTAGAGTGAGCACAGATTTTAATTCCTGAGATCAGAATATCTGATTATAGTTGCACAATGGGATACTAAATGGTAATATCTTACCCAAAATATCTGAGATATTCTCATACTGTTGTATTGATGGATTTGATGTACTATTCTGTTGATCCAAAATTATCTTCATCTCACTTTCTGTCTCTTTCCACCCATTGTCAACTCCAGAATCTTAGCAACATCCAAGTCACGGATGGTATCCTTATAATTTCCCATAGAAGCATTTGCCTTACCTCTTCTGTACCATGCCTGCATTAGAAAAAGGAAGAAAAGTAAATTTGAAGAAAACTGTAACTCTCTTAGTCTCCTTTATCCTCCAGTAAAAAAAGGCATCTCTAACTCATTAAAATACAACTTAACGCTAGGCAATAAAAGCATCTCACCTTTGCATAGTTTGAAGAAATCTGAAGTGCCCGATTGCAGTCTCGTAAACACTCCCTTAGAAGTCCCATTTTCTAAGGATTACATACAGATACACTAACAGTGAGCAATGAAATCTGTTGATAAAGTGAATTGAACTTGTTTCGTTTGGTACATACCCACATAAATCAAGAATGGGACTTACATGCAATACAGAAGCCCGCTTCACATACAAAGTAGCAACCAAGTTTCTGTCTTCATTTGCATCCACAGGAGCAACTATCAATGCCTGTGCATCATGCCAATGATAATAAACAAACAAGTAAACAAATAAGGGGTTTCAGAGCAGAGGTGTTAAGCCCATGAGTAATTAGTTCTAGCAATGGCTTCAAAATAGAGAAGTAATTTCAAAGATGGAGGTACCTGAGTATAGAAATCCAAAGCATTAGCATAATCACCACTCAAGAAGCACTTATTCCCCTTTTGCTTCGACTCCAAAACAGCTTCTTTGTTCTTGCCACACAGAGCCACTTCAGGGTCCGCCAAGTCCCTCACCATCTGATCAAATACGACAAATTTTAATCATTCATTCATTTCATTTCTTCTGTTATTGTTTGTTTCTCGAAGCTCATAAATTAGAATGTACAAAAATAATGACATACTTGGTGAAAGGGCTCGAAATGAAGAAGAAAATCGACGAGAGAAGAGCATGTGCGAGGAAGATCGTCAGCAGAGCTCTCTCCGATCATTCGCTTTAGGGTTTCTGGAACCAGAGATTTCAGCTTCTCCATGAGCGCGCTTTTGAGCTACGCCTTGGGCTTGGAACTTCGTACAACGGCTATATGCATTGCTACCTGCTCTGCTACTCTGTTTTATGCGCGGCGGTGAGAGTTCGTTTCTTTTTCCTTTTTCTTTCTTTTTTGGGTAAGGAAGGCTGTGAGTGTTAAAATAAAAACAAAATATATATATTTTTTAATTCTTTCCCAAATGTTTTATCTTTTTTAAGAATTTTCTATACCAAAATTATTAAAAATAAATGTATCGGGCAAAATTGGGCAAAATTCTATACCAGAATTTTCTTTCCCAAACGAAAATCGGGCAAATTTGATTTATAAAACTTGTCCGAGGTTCAATAGAATTTACCCATGTTCAAAATTCATTTCCCACCAATGCATTTTTGACAAGTTATTTCTTCTTGTGTGAAAATGTTGGGAAGATGTTTGCCTTTTGGAACTTCTGTTGGATGATGTTATACGAATCTACCAATACTACAAATATATCTCAAAATAAAATTTCGTATCACTTCAAATTCCCATCATAAGAATGGTATTTGTTTCTTTTTTTGGGTCGACGTGTGATTGTACTTCTGATAAACAGATTATCCACCCATCAGTACAAACTGTACTTCTAACATTTTTACAAGAACTAGAGCCTCTGTGGTAATTAGATGCTGACAAAATCCATACTACAGAATGCTCCTTTTGGGGATTCTTCTTGAAACAAACAAACAAACACAATGCTTCATCTATACCCAAACTCTTTTTCTGGGCACAAGATCTGATGTTTTTATATCATCTATTTTGGCAGCTACAATGAAATCATTCATGCTCAATCCTCCTGCAATGAAGTTTCAAGTTAGCAATGTGCAAATGGTATGGCGAGTAGCCTAGTGAAAAGTTTCTACAAGTTTGCAAGAAGTTTACCAATGGAAGATGTCCATAGCTCTGGTCTAACTTGATTGGGTTGCTCCAAGTGAAGATTTGGGAAATGCCCTGCAGCTTCTGCACCCTTATAAATCCTGTTGATGAGCTCAACCCCACATTTATAATCTCTCAATTTCCAAAGACACTGTAATTTGAGCTCATCTTCTCCAACTATCAATCTCCACCCAACAACCTAGAGAAGCAAGGCATAAATGAGTTCCAATTTGCTTGCATAAAATCAAAACTATCCAATTTTTGGAAACAAAACAAAATCACAGCTTCAGACCTCAATTCTAGAACACACAACCCACAAAAGTCCTTAACTTTACAAACAGAACCCAAAAGGGTAATCTTCTTCAGGATATGAAAATTGGGCAAAGCTAAGCTAAGCAAAGACTGAGACTTTACACAGTAATTTCATCAAACACCATAGAAGCATCATACAAATCGAGGATATCAATGAAGAATTGACCTTTCTGAGGAGCTTCTGGGCATCGTCTTCAGGCATAGGAGGCTGGAGAGGAGAGACAGGGCTGCAGTCTAGCTGGGACAGAGAGAGAGAAGAGAGATTGGGGATGAGAATCTTGTGCTATGTGTTGCCGCTGCCCAACACCTTCTCACCAAACCCACTTGCTATCTCAGCTGGGACGGGGTCTCTGGCGCCAAAATCGCCCAGCATGTCATTGCCCAGAGCCTGAGTTCGCAGGCCGAGTCGAAGCCAAGTTGGAACGGTGATGAGGTTAGGGTGAAGGTGGAGGTGGTGGTGACGTGGAAGAGAGAGAAGGGGTATGGAAAGGTTTGCGGTGGCCATGGAGAGGAGGAGGAGGTGGAGGAGGATGGATGGGCTTCCTTCCTTGAGGACCTTCTTCTTCGGACTGCAGGAAAGAGCGGGTTTGGCTATATTATTTTGACACGGGGCCACCTATTCCCTGCGGGTTTTTTAAATTTTTTTATAAATCGTATAGCCGTTCGGCTGTACTCGGTTTTTATTTTATTTTTAAATCGTACAGCCGTTCTTTTTTTAATTTTTTTAATAATAGTATAGCCGTTCGGCTATACTTATTTTGACACAAGGGCTCCTTTTTTTCTCTTAAATTTTTTTGCCCGATTTTCGTTTATAGGTAAGAGTAGTTTAGGGCATTATCCATTACAATTATGCCATTATCCAAGTCACTATTGATTTTCTGTAAAATTTCCACACAAAAAAAGAAGTAAAAATTGAACTTTGAGATTGATTTGTTGTGAAATTTCTCTCTCTTCAATATCTACTTTGGATATGTTGAATTTAACAAATTAATATTTTGACCAAAAAAAAAAGCAAATTAATATCTATAAAGTATAAACTAATGCAACTAGAAGGTTCCTTCTTAATTTCTTTTTATTAAATAGTATAGCTGTGCAGCTACACTTTGGGTTTTTTAAATAAAAAATTAGTATACTCACTTGAGCTCCAAGTTTCTTCCGGTATGACAAGCAAGGGCACAAAATCTCAGAACCGGTCCTGGCTGCCACACTTGAAGTTGTGAGGGAATCGTTTTCCACAAGCTTGAATTTGGTTAATGGTATGCGGGACGTTTATCAAATTAGTGAGCTTGGGAGTGATGTGGGGGCAAACACACTCAAAATGCATGTAGGCAGGCTTTATGTCCCATAAAAACTTGCTTTCACTCATTAAGAAGAAGGTTGTTCTCCTCCTTGCACTGGCTATGGCATGTGTCCCCCTTCACCATCAAAGCCTCTGCCACCACCACCACCACAATAACCATATCGCAACCACCTGCTCTCACATAATTTATTCTTTTCTTTTTCCTTCTTAATAATTTGTTATGCTTCATAACTAATTTTGGCCATTGGATTGTATGTATGGTATATATTAAAAATTTATTTAGCTACCAACATACCTAATGGATGGCAGATATTAGAGCTTCATAACTAATATTTAACAAAACATAAATTTCCTTGAATGGATAGACGGTTGAGATTGAACAATCGTGTCAATATTGGAATGTATGGGAGACATCTTATAATTCACTTTTATTTGAGGAAAGTCATACATGTATTACATACGTGCACATGAATTGTGTTAATTAAGACGACTCTTTATTTGATAATCAAGCAGAATAATGTAGTCCCCTTCAGGGGCGCTCAGCAGTTGGATCTCTTTTAATGACATTTTACGGCTGTGATTCTTTTAAATGTATTAACCCGTTTTAACACTCCTGGCCCGAAAAAAACACACGCGATGGCTGAAGAAACCTAAGGCACGCACGAAGAAGAGGAAGAGCCCACCCTTCCAAGACAAAGGAAGAGCTACCATCGCGAATGGCTTTCTGTTAGTAGCTTCACAAGCTCAATCATTGGTTCATATATTTCTTATGAATTGGTTTTGTCTTTCACTACAGCTTGTTTAGTATGGACGGAGACTTTGCACCAATGATTGAGCTTGTGAAGCTACTCAAAGCGCATGGCTTTCTGTTAGTTATTGATGATGCAAGTCCTCTTGAGTTATTCAGCAGTAAAACCTTGTGAAACCTTTTTAAGGTTAATCTTGTACACACATCAATGATTGTCTTAATTATATTATGAATGAATTCACCAGTTACTAGAGACATATTTAATCAATGAGAAAATTCCACAAAAAGCAAATTGGAAAATAGTTGTTGAATTGAACCGTACCGGAACTGGGAATGTCGTGGAGCCATTTATGGAACGTGGGTTCAGGAATGTGGACCTCCACAGAGGATCGGTCCCACGGCTGGGGTCAATTCGTGAATAAAGATAGATAGGCAATGCCGTTTTTACCCTGCTAGATTACAATACCATTAAGGCCATTATTCATTTGTGTTTTTTATTTTTTGGTCAAAACATTTATTATTATTATTTTTTTGGTCTGAACCACGAGGTGGTCCTGGATGGGCCCCAACTATGGGTGGCATCTTTAAGCCTGTTGAGGCCCCAAAAAGTCACGGTTCGGCCCAAATAAATTCTCGGCCCAATGCAATACCTTACCAAGAAGAAACCCGATTTGGACACGCGAAAGTTCATAATATGCGCTTGCACACATGCCACGTCAAGCAAATAAGCAACACGCCACGCTACAAGCTTAAGTGGGCCCAAGCCACGCAAGATGCATGGGGTTTGCTTGAGTGGGTTGTGGTATGGATGGTAATAAGTTGACATGAGGCCC